TATCTGGTGCTGCAGACCTCATGTTATAGGCTACGATGAGCCAAATGAAAGCTTTCAAAAGCCTCAAAGCTACAATTATTTAGTTTCAGGTTGKGTCAAACATTTAGGATCCAAAGAAACTTYAAATRTCTGTTGACTTGTTTCTGCCTGGCTGGCATGTGCTATTTTTAGTAGTTAGCCTATGATAACAATGCTATCGCTAACGCTAACAACAAGTTAACTCCTGTTATTTMTATGTGCTTGGATCTACTTGCAACTAATTTGTTYAGCTTCTGTAAACCCAAATTCAAGTAACTATCCAGGAAAATATCTGACAACATGATTTAAATGATGGAATCCTTACCTGTTAGAAAGTGGTCGCTGCAAACTGTTGCATTGTTYGTTTTCGCACCTCCTGATTTTAGCCGTAGATYGTTGATCCACTTTTGTCCTATTTTTTCTGCAAGTTTTTAAAATTTAACTCCCTTGTGACACACTACTTTTGGAACATGAAAAAAACTTTGATATTTCTCCTGATCAGAGTGGCTGCAACAACTGTACACGGCACAGACACTGAATCAACRGAAGGAAAGATGGCTTCATTTACTTCCTGTCCCCCATCTGCATTTCATGACATCGATGCTACGTCATCTGCAACCCAGCTATAATGTCTTGTGACGTCCACGGTCTACCCAGGTTACCACTACTGTGCATGTGTGTCAAGGACAGAAAGGCAGATGTGGCAGTGGAAGGTGTCAAACCAGTTTGGAGAGAAAAACAAAGTAAAAAAACAACAAAAAAAACCAGACTGATCGACCATTAAATTAGTCATTGACTATTTTAATAGTCAATTAGTCGTCAACTAGTCGATTAATCATGGCAGCCCTAGAGGGAAACTACATGTTTGTTTTAAACATTCTTTAAACAATGCTCTAAAAATCTTTCACTAGTTTATCTTGGAACTCGCGGTTAGTTTGAGTCATGCCCTCATCTTGCTTTTGTAAGGACTTYGTCTATAAAAAAATGATTGAAAGTGCTGCTAATCAGCACAAAATGTTCCTCAGTGCTCTGGGTGTTAGATGCTGAAGGTCACCTCTATGTGCAGAGATGGAGTGTGTGTTGCTGTGTGTTTTCATGCTGATCATGCAACACTGAATCATCAGTATCAACACCATCAGCAGCAGCTCCTCCTCAGCTTTAACGGTGCCTTCATCTTCACTGGTCTGAAACGAGAACTTTTTTTCTCAGAGTCCGACAGCGCAGCTCCTTCTCACCTGCTCGACCCTCACCTGTTCCCCCTCACCCCCGTCGTGCTGTCCACAGATCAAGCACAGCGCCTCGCCTCCCTCACAGGTTTCRCCTCTCGCGTTTGTCCCACCACGCATCCCGTCAGCAGACCTCYGTTCACCACGTAAGCACGCAGGCAGCGGTGAACCCTACGTGGCGGCGGCAAACCTSGGGCGCGCTCACGCTCCTCCTGCCATCAGCCATTGCTCCAGCGTGGCCGGATTTGCGTGCTCCCCTCCGTGTGTTCAGTAGGTGTGGTTGCCATGGAGATGCGCAGCGCTGCTGATGGGACTGATGGGCCTGCCCTGCACACACACTCAGAGGGCTAAAAATAGAGTGCCGGCCTGAGCTGCTTCCCTGTTTGAATATGGATCTTTATCTAATGAGAGACAGACTCATGAGTCAGTTCAGCTTTCGAGTGTCATCCAGATAAAAACGACTTTTTATTAGCCTCAATTTTCCACACTTTTTAGGTTTTAAGTACAAATTATTTTATTGGTTTGTTTTCTGTCTTTGGAAATCAGGCATTGATTTTTTTTGAGAGCTCAGCAGCTAATGAGATAAATAACTTCTCTGGAATATATAGACATACGACTGTATTATACCCATTATTTTTAATAAACATGGAGAGTTCCTGTCAGCCGTTAGATATGGTTATTACCTGTCTTGTTTAAGAATTCAACCTTCTATAAATGAAAATTTAAAACAATTTACATACATGTTTAATAAGTTGTAAGGCGGGATATTGTTCAATAKGGCTGGGTTAAAAAACTCTAATCGATCTGGATCGATTTTTGTTCAAATTTGGGAAAATCGATCCATAAGTCAGGAGATCGATTTTTCCCCATGAGTGTTGTATGCGATGAAGCTACACATTTCCATGTTGTGTGTCACTCCTGGCTTGCCGTAAGTTTACAGCCACTTAACGGTGAGCACTAACATTAGCTCCCGACAACAAGTTGTCTGGGGCAAACAAAGGAATMACTAACATTACAACTGATTCTCAGCTGAACTTAAATATAACAGAGACCATGACAACTTTTGTTTGCAAAGATTTGTGTTCAGACACGGTATCGGGAAACGAAKCGGGCTTCGAAAATTATTCTTCAAGAAAATTATTCATAGTTTTTTTTAAAAACTAATGTATACTAATGTACACTTTCTCTTGTAATTCCTTTTTAGTTTAAACCCTTTGAAACTTGAGACAGTTTTGTTTCAAGATTAAACTCCAATTTACAAGTTTGCCCTTAATGTTTATAATTTTACCAACGCACCAAGTTAGAATTAGTTTCTATTTGCAGAATTAGTTCCTTTGAGAATGTCTTCTATAGGGTTGGGCAATATTGGCTAAAAGATTAATCACGATTAATTGTGGTATTTAGCCGATAACGATCAATTTGACGATTAATCCCCTGGAGTCCCTGGACACCCTTATTTCWTAGTCACATGACCAATTTAGTGGGAACGATTTGCCCTTTGTAAAAAATTGTTCCAAATTGTGTGAAAATTACAGATTTCAGGCTATACATCATATTTTAAATTGTGTTGATAGATAAATAAATTACAGAACTTTAATTTTAATGTTCGTCATGTTTGAAGCAGAGAGGAGCAGCGAGCGGACTGACCGGAGTAATTCCCAGTCAGTTTGCCTGGTGGCATTAATCGTATTAATCATCAAGTGACAAAAACTAATCGATTAATGTTTTTCTGATGATTAATTGCACACGATACGATTATGCCCAACCCTAGTCTTCTATATCAAAGTAAATGTGTTACTGCTTAATATCCTTAACTAATTTAAAAATCAATCAAACTGAATCGTGAATCGTCATGAATCGAATCGGGCTCCTGTGAATCAAATCGATTTGGGAAATCTGAATCGATACCCAACCCTATTGTTCAAACAATTACTGTGGGTAAAATCACACATGACTTTTTTTTGGTCATTTGTGAAGATCTTTGTCAGATCAGATTTTGACACAGAATTCAGTGACGTAAAACAAAACCGATTAGTTAAAATCGACACGTAAAAAGCTATAAACCAGGATTGACTTTAAAAGGTGCACAGACTTATTTAATCATTCAGAAATGTTCATTTACATCCTAAATAATTTCTGGTTGAATACATTTTATTTGTGACCAACAAGACTAATAATCCGATTGTTGCCGCCAAGATAACTTCTTCTGGTCATTTTGCAGTCAAGAAAAATTATAGAAAAGACMTTAAAACACAAGAAAAACACGAAACTACATTTTCTTTTATTTGTTGCGGGAAAATAAATAAAACACAATCTATTTCAGCCGTTTATGTTTGACTGATGTAGGGAAATTTATGGTTTTTTTAACAGATGTAAAAAAATGTTTTTGTTGGAAAGTGCTCACATCGACCATGTGTGGTGCGAGACGCTCCCGATCACCAGGACGTGCCTAATTGCCTCTGCTGAGGTGCGAAGCTTTAATTACACCTATCTCGCCCACTTGTTCTGCTCAACAGCTGAAATCATTGAACAGGTGGAGGGGAGAAGACGGGGGGGACTGAACGACTGGGACTGAGAGCGGGGAGCAGAAAGTGGGAGGTCTGAGTTAAAAATCTTTGTCATCAGCATGGGGGCGAGAGGGGGGTGGGGTAAATTGATGGGCTGCTCATCCCTCCCGTTGTCCCTCGTGTGTGTAATATGTGAGTAATGGGGCGGGGTGTAGGGAGCTGCAGCAGGTTAATGAAGTGCTACATTAAACGCAGTTTGGTAAATTGCTGTCAGGTGGCCTCTGAAGTAAAACAAGCAGAGCAGCAAGACGAGACGCTAAAGAGAAAACAACCTTGATTTCATGCAGCCGTTAAAATGCTGTGACATGCATATCCTTCAGGTGCAAAAAGTCAAAGAAAACATCTTTATATTTAAGAAACTTGCCATAATACACATGATTTTACCCAGATTGTCACATAACTGGGATCATTTCTTTTGATTTTGGCTCAGCCACAATGAAACAAGAAGTGACATCTAAGGGGAACTCTTTAAGAAGATAAACTCCTCTGTCTATTTATTGAAACAATATTATTTGAATTCTGACTCTCCATCTCTCTCTGACAGTGACTCAAAATAAATTTTGCAATGCATTATCAATGTAATCTTCCCAAAAATGCATTTGTATTCATGCTTTTCTTTTAAAATCATTTGCAGAGGAACTCACACCAGCAACTCTTTTTAATGTGATTTGTGTGTTTTTATGCGTGATGTTTTCATTGTGCCTGTTTCATGTTTATGTGTAATGTGCTTTTTTTGTGCAACAAACCCACTTTTATCCAAAGCATATTTCTCCCAAGGGAGACTAATAAAGGTACTTCGACTTTAAAGCTTTGGTTACTGTTATATTTATTAGGATAAATGTGAGAAGTGGAAGCGTGGCAGCTTCTGGATATGTCACAAGCAATATAGGTTTATGTTAAATATTTTTTTTAAGTTAAAAGATAGTTTTGTTAATCTTTAATATTTTGTATTTTGTAACAAGCTGATGATGGCATGTAGCTGAAACGCATCCTGTTTTCTGCCCTTATTTAAAAGCATGATATTTTTTGGAGTGCTGGTTATTCTATTTAAATTTTTTTATTTTTAATCTTTAATCTGAAAACATGAATTAAAAGATATCACTGAACTCTAAATTTAACTGTTTCTGTGCGTTTTTTTTTTCTAAAAAAGAATTAGCGAAATTTAAATTTAAATCAATTCTTCCTTCAGTGTGAACTTCAAAGAGCCAGAGGCGGTGCGAGCGCTGACCTGCACCCTGCTGAAGGAGGACTTCGGTTTGACCATCGAGATCCCTCTGGAGCGCCTCATACCGACCGTCCCTCTACGCCTCAACTACATCCACTGGGTGGAGGACCTCATCGACGGCCAGAAACAGCCACGCAGGGGCATCGACATCGGTATCGTCGACACTAGATTTATTTATACTTCTTACAGGCGGCCTCAGGTCTGTGTTTTTACAATGTGGGTCAGTCCTTCCAGCAGGCGATCCGAGTCATTCCGTGTTCCCAGTGCTATCTGCCAAATCCCAGTCCACATGTCAGTCAGAGAAATTAAGCACTTTGTGTGTGGTGTTTAGGACTCCAGGTCACTGACTGTTGACCCTGAAGCTTTGTAAAAGCAAACTGAGGCTGTCTTCCCTGTGATGGATCACCTCTGGTTGTCTCTTTAGTAACGGATGTCTCAGCCTGGACTGAATAATGCAGCATATTAAGATATGACTGATTTAATTATCACTSCTGGAGCTGACACTTATTGGCCACTAGGGCTAAGATATTTAAGAGGACTTTAGCTCGTATACTTGTTTTTACTTTAAACATCACTGCRTGTGTTTCTTGTTATTCACAACAGCCACAATAAATCCTGACGGTGACAGATTAATCCCTGTCAGGATTTATTGAGATGGGTTTCCTGTTCCCTCAGGCACAGGAGCGTCCTGCATCTATCCTTTACTTGGAGCTACAATGAACGGCTGGTACTTCCTCGCCACTGAGGTGGACGACATCTGCTTCGACTACGCAAAGAAGAACGTGGAGCAGAACAACATGTCTGACCTGATTAAAGGTGAGTCTRGTTTAAAGCAGTGGTTGGTTTTCACTTTTTTGACCGGGAAGAGCTTTTCAGTTTGTAACAAGCGGTGCCTCTCCCTCAATAAGTTTGCTTGTGCTGCTGTTTTTGCTCACAAATAACCATAAGCTTTCTATGTAAATAAGTTTGTAATGCAAAATTGTCAAAAATGTAAAGGTTTTGAACAACAGTTAGCTTGAATCGCTATGAAGTTATTGAAATTTTAGTTGCTTTAAGGTCACAGGGATTCACTTTAGCCTTTTTCCTGCTCAAACTAGCCRTTAGTTGGTGAGTTTGCTCAGATTTAAAGTCAGTTTCTCCAAAGAGAAGTTGTTAGAAGACCTATCTAGAACAGGTAAGATGTTCTTTGTTCATGGCCATTCCACAGAACCCCACTTCAAAAGGTCTGTCATTTTAAAAACACAACTTAATACAAGTCGTCTCATTATTATTTTTTTACTTTTTCAGTGGTGAAGGTCCCACAGAAGACATTACTGATGGACGCTTTAAAAGAAGAGACAGAAATCGTTTATGACTTCTGCATGTGCAACCCTCCGTTTTTCGCCAACCAGCTTGAAGCGAAGGTAAAGGTCCATGTTTTAAAATGTTTTACTCCACTCAGATCTAAATATTTCAGCTCTTCAAGTTCTTTGAGTWAGTTCAGCTCATTTTTAAAGGCTAGAGCAGCTCTGACAATGAAGACTATTTGTTTACGTGGTGCTACTAGGCCTCTAATAGGATTTCCTGCTAATCTCTGTCTGTCTTGTTGCTCTTCCTCTCCGTCTCTCTCTCTCTCTCTCCCTCCCTCCCTCCCTCCCTCCAGGGGGTGAACTCCAGGAACTCACGGCGACCTCCTCCCAGCTCGGTGAATACAGGAGGAGTGACGGAGATCATGGCAGAGGGAGGTGAGCTGGAGTTTGTCAAGAGGATCATTCACGACAGCCTGCAGCTCAAGAAACGTCTCCGGTGAGGGATGAAAAGCGCCAAGACCTTGTCATTTTTGTCCAGTTTCATCTAAATCTAAATCAAAACCCTGAACCTTAAAGTACTCTGCTGGATGTGCGTGCTGCTGTTCTGATGAACGGTGAGGGGTTTTTGGAGGGGTGTAAATGGCTGCTGAGAGCTCCAGTGAAGAGCAGAGGGGAGGAGGTGAAACAGGCAGGTGGATGGCTGCACACTGATGGAGTTGTCATCCTCAGTTGCTGGAGTGATTCTGGCACACACCCACATTGTGCTGCATCCTGGAGCCCACAGGGAGCAGCTGTGTTTGGGTTGATGTGTGGGGGGTGTCATTTTACCTTCCCCCGCGCTAGCGGGGTTGTCACCGGGGCAGCAGAGTGAGACCTGGGCAGAGTGGAGCCATTAAAACTAATTAGACATGCCACACCTGCTCGGCCTCTTACAGGGAGTTCAGTGTGTGTGTGTGTGTGTGTGTGTGTGTGTGTGTGTGTGTGTGTGTGTGTGTGTGTGTGTG